GGTATAGGATTGAGGGGTTTAGGGTTTAAGGTTTCGGACTTACAAGTGGTTGCAGATTGACGAACTCCTTCGCACTGGGAAGCCCGAGTGAGGCCAGAGGCGGTGGCGGCCGCTTGTGCAGGTACTCCCGGAAGACAGCTGCTTCCCAGCTCCGCAGGAACTGCACGGCACTTTGCATGGTCGAGGCAGAGAGCTCGGGCCAAGGCTGCAAATGACAGCAAATCTTCCTGTCCGCCTATATAAATATCTAGCGAGCCAGAGGCCCGCCTCCATCTTATGTAGCGAACCAGAGGCCCGCCCCGCTGCACACGACTGCATGCGAGCGATTCATTAAACCGCCCAGACATGGGATATATCTATATATATATACATATTCATATTCATATATATATATATATATGCATATACATATATAGATATATAAACATATTTATGTGTATATCTATATATATATATATATATTCATATTTCTATGTTTATTTATATACATATATATGATCTATGGCATATGACAGCTTCGATATATCTTTCTCACAGGTCTTTATATATATATATATATATAATGTATATAATATACACTATAATATATTATATATATATATATATATATGTATATTATATATTCTGTATATTATATATGTTTTATATATTATATACACTATATATATTATATTATATATATATATATGTAGTATATTATATATATTATATAAAATATATATATATATATATATATATATATATATATATATATTATATTATATATATATATATAGATAGGCTACTGGAGCGGCTGGAGCGACCCGCAAAGCCGCCGCAGTATAGTCGAGCCGCATGCTCTGTCCGAAACCCTAAACCCTCAACCCAGTCTCTTTTCTCAGAAGCGGAAGTGCACAGATCCTTCAGTCGCTCGGTCAGTCGTGGAACGGAGCAGCGATTTCGGCGAGCTCGTGACTCTTCTGCTTACCACTGCCACTGCTTCTACTTGTACTCTGGACCACAGTACTCGGCTTCACACTCGACTTGCCCAAGCCATCGATCAAGTGCTTGCACAGCTCTTTGCGGTTCTCCAGGGACCAGTGCTTCTTCAAGATCTCCGCGAGTTCGGCAGGGTTGCAATCGGCGATGATGCTGTCGTCAGCAGGATCCATGGCTCGATCTAACTTGACGAGATTCAGTATGCTTCGAACCTGTATAAAGATGTAAGTCGCAGACCTTCTGGGGATGTCTCTCTCACCATGCTACAGCGACCCAGCAGAGCCACCGAGAAGCCACCAACAAACGACTCATATATAACATCTCATACTTTATCGGATATAAAGAGGAGGGAGATCAGCATGCTGCAGCAACCCAGCAGAGCCGCCAAGAAGCTAGCAACACGTGAGTGATATAGAAAATCGAATAAAGGAGGGAAAGTTGTTGAGACATGTCATGTATTTGCTGCACCAAAGGGCCGCCCGTATAATGTTGAAAGGTTGTATATGCTTGAAAATATGTAGCTATATAGGTTTACATTTGTATCTATATATATATATATATATATATATATCGCAAAGGCACCCAAGCAAGCAGCGCCCTTTTTCGAGGGTCAGAGCTGCCAGGAGCCTTCAAAGGCTAAAGCTCTCAGGGGTCTTCTCTTCCTTGTACCCCTCCTTCTTCTTCTCCTGGGCCTTCGCCGCCAGGTAGCCCTTCATGAAGCATTCCCGCCTGAGTATAAGAACTTCAGATCACATGCCTCTGCTCGTGTCTGCATGCAGCGACCCACATAGAACCGCCGACATTTGCTCGTGTCTGCATGCAGCGACCCATGGGGCCGCCGACAAACAAGGAAAACAAAAAACGCAGTCGTAATATTCAGTCAGGTGTCTCTTTCGTCGTGAGCTCGTTCCACCACTCGATGTCCACGAACACCTCATGCTCTTCGATGAGGATAACAAAGTGCGGCATTGCGGCGCTTGAGAGAAAAAAATACCGGGCTCTTCCTTGCACAGTCCGAAGCGACCGCCCGCGGCTAAGCGACCAAAGTGGCCGCCTCTTGCTAAGCGACCCGGAGTCCATGTACATGTATTCGCATGGGTATATTGCATATATGTATATAAGTATATATAATGCACATGTTTGGACAACAAGATATAGAAAGAGAGAATATATAAGAGTGCTATACTATCACTCTAAAAAATCCTGTGTTCGTCTCTGTAAGCAGCGACCCATATAGGGCCGCCAACCAAGGAGTTACACTCAAAGCAGCGACCCATATATATATATATAGGGCCGCCGACAAAGTAGTGTGTATATATATATATATATGTATGTGCTATATACAATGTGTGTCTGAAAACGACAAACTCGGGGGATGCTATTACAACTCTGTATATGACTCTATTGCAGGCTGCGGCTGCGGGAGTGTTTTGACAGCCAGCAGAGCTTGTCTGTGTGATGCAAATTATACAAATTAACGGCTAAAGCAATGGATTGCTTCAATTCTGAATTAGACTCTTCAGCATGCAGTGTCGGTGACCGCGAGGGTCGCTTAAAAAACTACAGAACCAGCAGGCGGCAAGCCCGGTCGATGGGCCTCCGCTGAACACAGCGACGAGGAAAGGATCTATGGCTGCAGATCACGGATGCATCCGGGATCTGAAAGCGATCATCCTGCTTCGTTATCGCTTAAAGGTTTGGGTTTCAGAGTTTAGAGTTTCGAGTGCTGCAGGAGTGAACCTTTCAGTATCCACGGTGCTTCCAGCAGCAAACCGTGCAGTACGGGCGCCACCGGCACTTGGAGCAGCCTTTCGCGAAAGCCTTCAGCACCTTTGGCGGCAAGGTCTTGAGGAACTTCTCACGGTCCTCGGGGGTTGTGTTTTGGCGCTTCTTCTTCTCAGCAGCCTTCTTGCCCCCCTTGCCGTGCTGCTTCTTCTCAGCCTTCTCGCCTTTCTTGTCCTGCTGCTGCTTCTTCTCGGCCTTCTCGCTTTTCTTGTCTTGCTGCTGGGTCTTCTTCACCTGCGAAGCGGGCTTCTGGTGCTGCTTGTTCTCGGCCTTCTCGCTTTTCTCGTCGTCTTGCTGCTGGGTCTTCTTCACCTGCGAGGCAGGCTTCTGGTGCTGCTGCTTCTTCTCGGCCTTCTCGCTTTTCTCGTCTTGCTGCTGGGTCTTCTTCACTTGCGAGGCGGGCTTCTGGTGCTGCTGCTTCTCGCCCTCGTGTTTCTTCGCCTGCGAGGCGGCCTTGCCTTGCTTCTTGCCCTGCTTGCCAAGCTGCTGCTCCGCCTCCTCGCCCTGCTCCTCGCCCTTGTTGTCCAGTCCCACGTCCACTGCGGCAGTCTTCTGCGAGGACGCCCGCTGTGGGCCTGCAGGAGGTCGCCCCCTTCGCTTTGGAGCAGGTGCCTCTGCCTCCTTCGGCTCTGCCGGCTCCGTGGCCTTTTTCGCGGCTTTGTTTTTCCTGAGCTCGGCTAGGTCGGCCACACTCTCCAGCAGACTCCTCTTTTTCCCCAGCTTCGGGACAGCTGTCTCCTCCAGAGCAACCTGTGCAAGCTGACAGGGCTCTTGCAAGGAGTCCTGTAGAGGCTGGACTGCCAGGGGCGGCGGCTCCTGGACCTGGAGGGTCTCTTGCGGCACACAGCGAGCCGGAAGCTGGAGTGTCTTCGGCACCACGAACTCTTCAGCGAGGTGCAGGGACTCCTGGAGAACGGGCTTCTCCGGAAGCTGGAGCACGGGCTTTTCCAGAAGCTGGAGGGACTCCTGGGGCACGGGCCTTTCCGGAAGCTGGAGGGCCTCTTGGAGCACGGGCTTTTCCGGAACCTGGGGGGCCTCCTGCAGCACAGCCGTGTTTGGCAAGGGCTTCTCGACAACCTGCAGAGGCACCGGCTGCACGGACGCCGGCCTCGCACAGGAAGTTGCCGCCACGTCTGTCTGCCTGCGGCTGAGCTGCCGCTTGTAGCGCTTAGCCGACACCAACTCCCCGTGGTTCGACCGCAAGGGCACACAAGCCACCAGAGCTTTGAAGTTCTGCCAGGTTGGAGGCCAAACAGAAGGCTTCAAGGGCTTCTCTTGGAAGAAGGCGTTGGGGGCCGCGAGGTAGCAAGGGTCGCAGGGCAGCTCCTGCAGGCCGCCAGTTGGAAGCTTCTTCCCGTTCAACCGGTCCAGGAAGGCACGAGCCCTGCACTTGCACTTCAAGAAGAGGTCGTGAGAGCTGCACGGCTGCAGCAGTTGGCCTTGGTTTTGGTAGTTCACCAGAACCGTCACCACTGCCAAGGTTGGCTCAGAAGGGCTGTGAAGTCCTCGCTCCGCGAGGAAGGACAGGACCTTAAGCGTCTTGGTCTCGACACACTCTTCCTCCTGCAGCCACTGCACCAAAGCTGTCGGCAAGTAGTGGAAGAGGTGCACCCAGTTCTGCTGCGGCGACCTCGCAGCTTTGGCCACGAACCCCGTCTGCAGTGCCGCCGCCAGCGACTCCTTGTGCTCGTCCTGCAAGTTGGAGTCCAACACTCGCTTCCGGAGGTCTTCTTTCTCCAGGCTTCCCAGCCCTGCACTGGTCAGGATCAACTCGCTGACCCTTTTCACGTGGGGCGGGAGCAGCGGCGAGTCCGAGCCGACCAGCGGCACCAGCGTCAAGAGGCCTGTCAGGTGCGAGGCAGCCGCCATGCCCAAGCTACACCGAGAGCCCCTAAGGCAAGCTTGGAGCTGCAGCACTGCAGGCACTGCAACCATGACTTGCAGGTTGCGGATGCAAGCCCATGCATCACAGCCCGCCGATGGATCCAGCGAACGACAACTCTGAACGACATGGAGGCTAACAGACCTGTATATTTCCTATAAACATTATCCGCTTGCCATCCGCCGTCTAGATTCCAGCGAACGAGATCTGCAGGCGGACCATGGATCCGCCCATGACCATGATGCCATTCCTCTTGCAAGATCCTGCACGTGCAAAAGGTTCGTCTTTTTCAAAACACAACAGACAATTGCATGCTGCAGGTGCCGGCACCGTCACAAGATATATACATATTTCCTCAGTCCATCTCCTCCAAGGAGAAGGAAGGCTTGGAGTCGCCTGCCTTGCTGCCGCCACTGCCTTGCCTCGCTCGAACTTCTGCTTCCGCAGCCAAGGCTTCCGCTCGATCCTGGCAACGGTCAGAGTGTCCGACAGGGCAATGCTTGCAGCAGCGCCGGTGAGGAGGCTCCACCAACCGCAGACAGCCCACGGACAAGCAAGCCGTCACCGTGTCGCCCACACGGCTTCGTCGCTCCTGTCGGCGAAGGCACCCGGCGGAGTGTCCGTGCGGACAGAATCGGCAGCAGTGTCCAAACTTCCCGGTCACCACGCAGCTACACAGGGGGCTTTTGCAGAAACGAGGCATTGCTCATGAGCCCCGATGCACCTCGTCAAAGACATGTTTGCTGCCCGGTCAGCGAACTGATGTATATGTCCGCCGTCGATGATCTATATCTGCACAGGGCAACCCAAAGAGCCGCCCAATGTGTCTAGATTGCAGGCAACCTGTGCTGAAGGAAGCACAGTTCAACCCGACGGGCCGCCGAACCTTCTTAAAATCAATGCAACCCATGTATCAGCTAAGACCAAGTTTATGCGGCGATTCCCAACCGCCACACTCTCATGTTGTTCTCGTTTTATTGCCAAAATTGTGCACATGCTATCTTTTTCCATCTTTTTCTATCTTTTTTTATCTTTTTTTATCTTATGTTAAGTTCCTGTCTATCTTCACTATCTTCGATCAAAAAAGATATATCTTCTTATATCTAAATATATGTTCGGCCTATCTTGGCCCGAAGATATATCTTTTGCTATCTCCAAACAGAGCTGTTTATGCTTTTGCACCAAAGATATATCTTCCGCTATCTTCGGGCGACCAACCGTGTAAGGACTCTAAACTATGGGAACTATGGTATACTCCTTATACTGGGTCATGCAGGATTTTGTCCATCAAGCCATACGCCAGTCCTTGTTCACGACCTGCTTCAGGATGCGAACGTAGGAGTCTACATGCCAGAGGCGCACATCGGCGCAGGCTCCGGATCCCATAAAGGACTCCGGACCTGAATTCGGTTGAGGGTTTAGGGTTCAGGGTTCAGGGTTTAGGGTTACCCTAAATCCGAAACCCATGCAGTGGTTCTTAATTTGCTTATTATAGGAGCCTGAATACTTAGAATGGGGGTTCGGGGCCATTCTACTATTTTAATAAGGAACCACCAAAATAGTACAGGCAACTATTTTGGCCCCTATATTAGTTCTCTTTGTTTCGAGCGGCGGCGTTTGTCTCCTGTGTTTGGTTTTAGGTGGGGTAGGGAATGGAGCGGACAGTGAAACTGCTATCTGTTTGAGGGGAGCGGTGGGGTTCAGGGTGTAGCGTCTATAAAGCAGTAGTTCGCAATTTCTGAAATTACTTTCAAGCTTTTCGAAACGGAGCTGAGTTCTCTGTATGGGGCTTGCGTCTTGGTTCATAGGGAGCTTATAAGAAGTTTAGGTTTCGGGAATCGAACCTGAGCGCGGCTTTTAAGGGGAGCGTGTTGGGTTACCGTCTCCAGCGAGGTTAAGCTTAGGGGTCTTTCAAGGGGCTTGGGGAAAAAGGGCATTCTCGGGTTTAGGGTCTAGGGTTTAAGGTTTAGGGTTTAGGGAGCTTAAAAGTTTCGGGGGCCTGGGGTGGGTTAGAGGGCTCAGGATCCAGTGCTCGGCGCATCCGCGCTGCATGCGAAAGCCCTGAGGTCAAAACCCCGAACCCCCAGACATGAAGCCCTTGTAAGAACATGGAATATAGGGGCCTTGATAGTTAGAAAAGGGGCTTTGGGGTAGATTATAGTATGTTCAGTAAGGATCCCTAAGGGGTGCTGTTGGTATTTAATCAGGCTACCACATCAAGCCCCTCATCTTCATTTCACACCCTCGCCCAGAAAAATTCAAGCCCCATACAGCTGGGCGAGGAGCTCTCTGCTAGGACAGACCGCATGTAGTCTGCGAGGAGCATCTCGCCTGTGGCTTTGGGGTTTACATTCGCTGCGTTGCTATGTTGGGCAAGTGACTAAGCTTTGCAAGTAAACCCTAAACCCTAAACCGGACTAAGTCTGGGCTGCAAGCTATTAAGGCTGTTGATTACACGTTTGGGCTTCAGAGTGCGTAGGGCACCGTCATTACACAAGTATACACCCAAAACGCCATAGACCCATTTGCCAACAAGTCCAGCGAATTCCTGCAGTCTTCAATATCAAGATATCCTAGTCTGTGCTGCAACCTGAATCTAGGGTGCCTGCAAAACCGCATGTGTGCTTGGTACGCGTGGTTTCAAACCCAAGACGGACCCTCTGAGCCCTCGATGCTCTCGACACTTCTATCCCTTAAATCCTTAATGAAGCCCTAAACCCTATACTCACTGGCCCAAAGCCCAAGGAAATAAGAGCTGAAACTTTCAAAATCGACTACCTTATATATAAGAACACCGAAAGTTGAAAAGTTAAGTTTACACCCTAAACCCTAAACCCTAAACCGTAAACCGTTACAGCCAATATGTATACAAGGACTGCTCCGAAGTTTCGTTGAGCGCACTTAGCCCTGGTCCCAAACGACTCGGTCTCTGTAAAGGGAACTCCAGAAAGTTGGAGTACGGATTAATGGTAGGATCCCCTATAATTTACCCTAAAGGGGTTACGATAATGATATTCCAACTTTCTGGCTTCTACTGTAAGATCCTCGACGAACCGTGCGAAACTAGAGAGCTTCGGAAGCAAGACCCCGGTGGGGCTTTAGGGTTTAGGGGTCTAAGAGCTTCAGGGGTTAGGGGTTTAAGGGGTTTCAGGGTTAAGGGATTTAGGCGTCTAGAGTTTAGGGTTTAGTGGTTAGGGCGGTTAGGGTTAAGGGTTTCGGATTTGGTTTAGGGTCTGGGGCTAACCCGCGCAGCGATACCCTGAATCCGATTCAAGTCTGACACTCGAATAGGCCGAAGCTCTCACCACCCGAGCAGCTAACAATCAGATGGGCGGTGGGCAAAATTATGGTCCCTTTGTTGGTCCCTGTTTTAATGCGGCACCTATATATTTTGGGGTGCCCAAAAAGGGACCTTAATTTTGACAACTACCCATATGAATCTCAAGCCTGTGGACTGCAGAAAACGTTCAAGCTGCGTGACCCTAACCTTAAACCCCAAAACCCCCAAACCCTCAAACCCTGAACCCCTAAACCCTAAACCCCTAAACCCTAAACTCCTAAACCCCAAAACCCTAAACCCTAAACCCTGAACACCCGATCCCCAAACCTAAACTCATATGGTCTGAACCCTGGGCCTTCAAGTCCGAAAAACTGTGAACCGACAAAACCCTCAACCCTAAACCCAAAGCCAACTGAACTTGGGTACTGGCCCCATACGGCAACAGTCTACAATAGGGCAGAAACTATCAACAGTGGGTCAGAACTTGTTCGTTCTTTTAGGGCTAGGGGTTAGGTACGGCCCCCATACAGTAACAGTCCACAATAGGGCGACTGTTAAGGTCCTAATGTACCTATATTATGAATATTATCCAACTGTTACTGAGTGGAAGCAGTACCCAAACTAAACCCTGGGCCCTGGACTGCAAGGCACCGACAAACCCTCAACCCTAAACCCTAAACCCCTAAACCCCTGAACCCCCAAACCCTAAAGCCAACTAAACCCTTAAAAACCCCGTCCATGACCCCCAAAACGCGCCTGACTTCTCAGTCCCAAGACTGCTACCGGACTTCAGGATAAACGCAATCGCCATCTCCACCTTTCAGGGGGGCAGGGCGGCTTTTTGCTTGGGAGTGGGGCCTGGGGTTTTAGTGTTTAGGGCTATCTGGGTGTACCTCAAACTATCAAGACCCTTTATTTTTGTAGGGTCGCCAAAATTCAGCATTCGGGCTTATAACAAGAAGCTACGAAAACAGGTTGTGTTAGGTTGAGCTGCTCTTGGTGTTGAGACTCCCGCCACACGCACCGGCTAGCCTATCTTTTTGGATTGCCTGTTATGATTTCCTTATAGAAGTCCCTAAGACTGTAGGATTTTCAGGGTCCTCGTAAATCCTAAACCCCGGACCCATGACATCCTCACTTCAGTAAAGCAAAGCGAAGCTCGAGAACTGCATCCTATTCACATGCTAAGCCGTGAACTTCAAACATCCCAATTGAACGCCGCCCGAACAGCCCCCTTCAACTCCGTGGTGCTTAGTAGGGAATGGGGGAATGGATCCCTACAAAAGTTCCTATATAATCCCCAATAACAGTCGCCGTAATCCATTCCCCCATTCCCTGCTAAGCACCAGGGAGTGTCTAAACCCTTACCCTAAACCAGAAGGATAGGGCCAGCCTTCTGCAAGCAAGTATTCGCAATGGCTGGAGATGGGATCTCTGACTTTAGCCGGTCAATGTTGTCTGGAAGGAGGTCTCGCTGCTTGATGACCTGGCAGGCTACGGGTTCGGATGTGGGAGTTTGTAAAATAGGGTTATCTTGGCCCAACGATAAAGGCTTCCGATGACAACCTGATATGGCAGGGGTTCGTGCTTCTTGGCGATCGCTGCTGCAGCTCCGTTAACTTCCTCCTCTGCTACTCCTTCGACGATACGACGACATGCTGCTGCAACTGCTTCTCCTCAGGGGGTCGGGTTTCTGAGTTTCTGATGAGGCCTGTGCTGGCACGGAGAGTGAATGCTTTCGTTCGGGTGTCGCTTGGGCAGCTACTTTGTGTGACAGTGACTTTCGGGCTTACTCAGTAAAGCTTATGCGCCACCAATCATGAAACAGTCGCAGCCCTCCCTGCAAACAGCAACCCCAACACTACACAAACCAGCTCCGTCACCACACAGCCTCCCTAAACCTGAAAACTCTTAAGCCGTGTTTCCACCCATTGTCATCCCCATGGTATACACAGCCAAATGAAGAAGTGGCACTGAGAATTGCACCGCAACATACTAAAAGTTTCTATAATAGAACACACTGAAACATAATACGCTTTTTACCAAAACATCAAAACATGGTAATGTACGATTTACAACAAAATAACAACTATAATAATATACTGTAAACCAGTCGAGGCACCGATCGAAGCTCGCCGCCAGCGGAGAAGGACTCTCCGAGCCATTGGAAGCCTCTCATCTCGATCGTCACCTCAGGCCTCCGAAAAGAGCTTCGGATTTTTAAGGGGCTTAGGGTGTAAGGTTTAGGGGTTTAGAGTGTAAGGTTTAGGGTTTAGGGGTTTAAGGGGGTTTTAAAGTTTAAGGGTCTAGGGATTTAGGGGTTTGGGGCTTAAGGGTTTAGGGGTTGAAGAGTTTCGGTGTTTTAAGGGGTTCAAGGGATTTTATTACGGGGGTGTCAGGGATTTTTAAGGTGTAAGGGTTTAGGTCTTTAGGGGTTTAAGGGCTTAGGGGTTTGAGGGGTTTTTTAAGCTCAAGGAAATAGAGATTTAAGGGGTTGGGGTGGCTGAAGTCCCGTGCACGAAGTGAGGCAACGCGCAAACTTTCGTTGAACTCTGCCCGTAGCAAATCATGCAGCTGGTCGTTCTTGTTGTACCGAGCCGTGCCGTTCAGCGGAACTACGTGTCTCAGAAGTCGATGCTCAGCCAAGCATTGCCGACGCCTATCTCAGCACCAGTCTTGCTGGCTCGATCGCCCACGTGGGCTGGGGCACAATCTTCTTCGTACAGCACGAGGCCTGGACAGCTTGGCAGTGCAAAGAAAGGCCAGCCCATGGCAGTGACAGCAGATGCTGAAAGTGTGGTGGATGGGGTGAAGGGTTGGTGGGGTGGAGTGGGCTTAAGGGTTTAAGCCTTTCGGGTTACGGTTCCTTTCAGGGATCAAAAAGGTTTTAGGGCTGTAGGGCTTCAGGGGTGTAGGGTTTATGATTCAGGCTATTTCGGGTCCAGGTCTACTTTGGGGTTCAGGGGTTTTTCTAAGGCTTGATGACTTCCAGGAGCTAAAGGCGGTTTCAGGTTTTATGGTTCATAGCGGCTTGAGGGCTCTCTCTGTCCAGGTTTGAGGGCTTCTCGCTTGGCTTTGCAGGGCCTGTGGCTCGGATGCTATCCCATATAAGCCCCTTTATAATGAAGCCCAATAAGGTAGTCCCTAAAATAGGCTGATGCTTATGTCCTTTTTTGGGTCCCTGACATAAGTTCTGTAGCTGGCGTCGGGAACAGGTGGGCCGAAGCAAGCTTGAATTTCAGATGTCGGCAGGGTCTGTTCGTACGGCTAGGAAGCTTCGAGTTCAAGGCTCTCTGTTCGGGACCCACAAAAGCACATAAGCAAACCTTAAGATAGGGATCTCCCATATAACCCCCCTTATAATGAAGCCCAATAAGGTAGGGATATCCCTATAAAATGCTTATGCTTATGTGCTTTTTGGGTTCCTAATCTGTTACATCTAGACTTAGTACTGTTCTATTTCTAGATGCTAGTCCGCCTGCTAGTGATTCTTGGCCTCAGCCGGTTGAGCTGTAGAATACTATACTTCTGGTAGGGACGATGATGGGATGCTGTTCAAGAATCATCCCGCGGTGGTTGGGGTTTGTCCTTTCTTTCGGGTTCTCAAAAGACAAGACCTCTAATCTGCAACAGTCCAATCCCGGAAGCCCTGAATGCTGGCCTCAACTGCCGCAGCCTTCAAACCCAAACCTTTACCCCCAAACCATAAACCCTAAACTCACACTCAAACCCTAAAAGAAAATGTCCAACAGCCGAAACACAGGGTTCCCCCAAACCCCTATTCTAATCATGAAGGCCCCTATAGCTTATACCCTAATCCCTACACCCCCAAACCATAATACGGTTGCAATCCCCGCCAAGCCTACTCAGCTCCCGCCGAAGGTGGGACTCCATCTGCTTGAGGTCTAAGTTCAACTTGCCACCGACGCCTGAGTCTTTAGCAAGGTTTTACGTACGTATCAGGTCACCATGGGCCACTATGCGGCAGTATAGTCTAACCCTAAACCCTAAACTAACAGTGTTGGAACCAGGGCTTTGGAGTGCAAGGAATCAAGCGCGGAGAGCCCGAAAGGCTTAGCTCTGCACCTGCCAAAACCGTTTGAACCCAAAGCACAAAAGGAACCCAAAACACCAAAACCGAAAATCAGATGTCGTCCCTTAAATTTTGATCCAAAATCTGTCGAACCTTCCCTTAACCCTAAGCTCTAAAACTCTCTAGACTTTAGTTTCAATCCCTAACCCTAAATGCTAAGACCCTTAGCCTCAAAACCGTAAACCTTACATGCATGTAGACTGCAGCCCAGAGGCCCCAAGTGGCACATCGGCTGGTCAGGTAGCGCATGAGCTCATGCTTGCTGTATTTGATGACCTGAGGCTCCGGGTTATTCCCGGTTTAGGGTATAGAGTAGATGACCTGAGGCTCTTTGGGCTTGGGGTCTTAGGTTTAGGGCATAGGGGTTAAATTTGATGACGTGAGGTTTAGGGTTCAGGGTAATGGGGCTGAATTTGATGACTTGGGCTTTGCTACGTTTTTTTTTTTTTTTTTTTGTGACACCAGCGCAGTGCTCCGTACCTTGTCGTAGAAGCATTGAGGAACAGTATTTGAAGTAGCCGTAGGAGAAGTGGCAGTATGAGCAGAAAGAGTAGCAGCAACAGGACGGGTGAAAAGAAATCTTCTCTGCAAATACTACACACGCGAACGCACGCACGCACACGTATATGCTGAGGTCTCCCGTGCATCAACTCAGCGCAGGATTCAGGATTGGAGGCGGCATGGCCCCATCAGATCCTAGAACCCTAAAGCCCAAACCCCGAAACCCTGACACCAGCAAAGTCTGAAGCCTGAGCTAACACCCCAAACCCTACGCACTGAGCCGATCCCGGATCATCATGAGATCTAGGACCCTAAACCCTAAGCCGAATCTAGGATGGCTCTGATGGCAGGCAGTTCGGGAACCAAGCCGCGTGATCGACCCTACACGGAAAAAGTTGGTAATTCACATCGACACCTTGAAGAGGAATTAATGAAGACTCCACTTACATAGTCTTAGAGACATTGGACCTTAACTAAACTCTAATGCTGTGCTTTAACCGGAGACGGGGTTATTTCGACGAGAGTGATGAGTCAGAGACGATGTACTTTCCTGAACTCTACACCACAACTCGTGCACCCCAACGTTGTTTCCAAGCCTTCTTTTGGGCTCTCTCGTCCAACTCTTAAAAGGCTCTAGGGCTTTACGGGCCCCTAAACCCTCAGACCCCTTCATGCGAGGCAGAGGCGTCATGCTGCGCCAGTAATCTGGATGACACCTTCCTTGCTGGGTAGCCCAGCGTTCCTGCAGCAAAATCTGGCTTCGGGTTCTGCTTGGGGGTTCTTGAGGTCTAAGTTCACCTCATTATAGGGGATCCGGCTTGAGAGAGTGAGCATTCAGGGTTTTGGGATGCGAGGGCCTCGGGTTGGGCCGGAGATTGAAAGTTGTGGACATGAGAAGTTAAGATTTGGAGCTGCTGGTTCAAACTTCACCGGATCCCAGTGAGCGCGACAGGTCCCTACAGCTCGACACTTTCATCTCACGAAGTGACAAAGTGAAACCGGCCCGCCCAACCAACCCCCAACTCGCCAACCGAGTCCACAAAAAGCAAAAAACACAAAACACGTGAGGCAAATAGAAATCTCCCGGTGGTCACCTCGAATACTTAGGATTATCACTGCAAGGCTCTGTGGCATTTCTCGGCGGATGAGGAGCCCATCCGGAATCCCGCAGTTCTTTGCTACACCCGAAGTCTTGAATCCTGAACTGTAAACCTTCAATGGGTTAGCGATATGACTAAAAAAACCAAACCCCAAACACGAGCCTCAAGTTAATCCTTAAACCCCTCTGAAGGCACCACAGAACTGGCTCCTGCGACGATCTGCACCAGCTGGTTGTGTTGGGCAACCAGCCAGTCGATCACCGCAAGGGCGAACATGCCGTCATCCTGTCGGCACTGAATCCTGAAACCAGACCCTTCTCTCTAACCCGAACCTCGTTTAGGGTTTAGGGTTTAGAGGTTTACTCTAAGGCCCCATAGTAGTTCCTTTTTCGTGGTTCATATTTGGAATCCTATAAGGTAATCCCAAAAAGGAACTACTATGGGGCCTCAGGGTACCCTCAAACCCGAACCTGGCTTTTGCGGGGCGAAGTTCGAGCCGCCGGCGTTGCCTGAAACCTACAGCCCAAATCCTGGGGCCTAAACCCTTCCAAAGCCGTGTCTGGACGGTTGATGATATAAATCCTGCATTACCTTAAGGACCCTAAACTATGGGAATTATGGTATATTCCTTGTTATGGGTAATGCAGGATACATATATCATCAACCGGGAGCTCGGTGCTGGTGTCCGCAAACAGTTGGAGCACCGCTTTACTGCAGTCACCTCCTGAGTTAAAATCCTTACAGGGAACTCCAGTAGGATACCCTATAATTTACCATAAAGGGCTTAGGATAATTAATCATATTCCAACTTTCTGGCTTTTACTTGACCTCCTGGCAAGGAATGGTGGGGCCGACTGCTGCGCAGCGAGAATCTTATGCGCGCCTTCTCCTGAAGATCCTTGCTTTAGGCTGCCAGTTCAGATTTGGGGCAATTGACGCATTTATGCACATGTACATGGCGTATATGGCCTCTTCAGGTTGGGCTTTGAGTCTAGCCGGGACTCGACATAGGGGCTTAGGATGTAAGTTTAAGACTTGGAGTTCAGTTTATGGTACCGGAAGAATCGGCAACCCAGCCAAGCATACCCTTCAGTTCGGCATACTTGCACCCTATCCGGCACACGAGCCTCTGATGCCAGAGGGCGAAGTGGTGAACCCTGGACCCTAGTATACACCCCAAAACACCCTGGAGCCCGACACCCTAAACCCTGTAGTTGCTTTACACTTTCAGGAAGGAACTTAGGAAGATAGGGCATGCTTGTGCATCCGAAGTCGAAATACTGAAGTCTCATGCTACAATGTCTGCTGCAAGCCACACCTTCAAACCATGAAGCCACAACGTCAAAGCCAACGCAAGCCCGATTTTAGATTTTGTGTTTCGGGTTCAGGGTAGTTCCTTTTAGACAGGAAACGACTCGAACTGTTGAACTCTAAGTGCCGCCAAGTTGAAACTCAGACTAAACCCGGCACTTAAATCCCGCCCCA